ACGTGTCCTGTGTTTCTAGCAGGGGACATGATGTGTAGTGAACACATTGTAGTTTGATCCATTTCGGCATATATAGTAGCACATTTCACCCAAGTCTGAACTAGCGAATGATGAAATTGAACATACATTTTTTGTTATCTCCCTCGTTTATGAGTAATGAATGATTGTCATTCATACCCTTCTATTACAAATATATAATTAACTTTTTTTTTTCTAAATAATGTTTTTTGAAAATGCTATTCTATGTATTCATGATTTTTGAAATGTAAATTTTCCTTGCAAATGCAGACGTTGACCCCCCCAAAACAGCAACAACCTAACGTTTCTACATATATCAACTGTATACATAAGTCGTTATATATAAACTCGTTGACTAGGCTATCTCTAAATTATTACAACAGTCCACATTTAACTACATTTTTTATAGTTTTAATGAAGGCATACACAACTACCGGAAGATTATTCTTGCAAATAAAAGTGTTTGATTTTCGTAGTTTTGATGGAACAATTGTTAACATAAATACTCTGATTCGACCTTTCAAATCGTTACGTGCCTCAGTTTTTCAACGAACACTTCATCACATTGGAATGCATACGAGAACGCGGTCGTTACAATGTGCGAATCATGTGACACAATACATCGCTGATTACTTGGCTTTAGTGGGTGTGTACATTTCAACAATTGGTCTTGTCGTCCCTAAATTGCTACATTTTGAAGTTTATAAGCATAATTCGACTGTAATCAGATGCATAGTTTCACAGAAACCGGAATGTTTGCTTTCATATATTTTCCAAAATTTAGCAAATTTCGCAAATTATGCCAATTTGGTCGAAAATACAAAAAAAAAAATACATAAAAATCGGACATAATGTGGCAACAACATTTTGGCGGGAAAATTGAAGGCGCTCAAATTATTAGCGAGATTGAGACTGAATTGCAAATTAATACAGTTGCCTTCAGGCATTCATTAAGTATAGGTTCATTTATTTTCAGAAAATAAAATAAAAAAAAACAA